CAGTTCAAATACGTACTTATTTCTTACATTGTATAGAAGTTAACAAAATAAATTAAACATAAAGAGGATATATAATACTTCAAAATTGATGAACTAAAATTGTTGCTTATGCAGTATAACTTTATTCAATTCAAATGAATTTATTTCTTGCATTGTATAGAAGTTAACAAAGTAAATTACTGTTACATGAGAGTGATATATAATACTTCAGAATCCAGTATAGTATTATTTTGATATAAATGGAAGTTTTAAGACAAAATGCCCTCATTTTATTGGGGTTTTCAATATGTAATATCAGTGTACTTTAATATGTAATATCAGTGTACTGATGTCATGTGAAGGATTAGAATGTAAAATAAATGAAAGTAAATACTTCCGAAGACTCAAGGGCTCGGGAGCTTATCTTCAGTTTCCATAATGTTAAGTGGATGAGAGTGTGATACTCTTCTGGATTGGACTCCTGTCAATCACAGTCTCAGGCGGGCCCCCATGAGTTCAGTGGCAATCCAGCAGTGGGAGAAAGGAGAGCTTTATTGTTTACCACTTATATACACCAACCGTGGTGGGGCGTGGGTGGACGTGGCGGCGTGAACTTATTGTGTCAGAAAATTTCTGGATCTGCCCCTGAGCTTATTCCCTTCAAATTGCAAATGTATACAGCTGGGCTGGATAAGGTGCCTTCTTCACAGACACTTTGCAACCCCTTGATAATAATTTTTTTCCTTTCTTGATACTGTATTTTATACTGTACATCAAATCATAAAATTATACCGTACAGTAGGCCTACCTTTTCATTGACCTCCAACAGGTTGCCTCTTTGAGGTGGTGGTGGTGATGGTGTTTTCTTACAGGTTAAAAAACATTTAAAATAATTGGTTTAATAACTGACAGTAATGTACTTGTACTAGGTTGAATAAATTTGAAAAACAAAACAAACAAATTGATAATAATATATTATTTATTTGTTATTCTGTCTTTAAAATGATAGCATGCAGTTACACAGCCCTGGTTTCATACAGCATGGAGGTATTTTTATACCTCCATGCATACAGTAAATCGACCACATAAACAAAAAGAAAATGTAACAGAAATGCAAATCACAAATAAAAATTAAATTAACAGATAAAAAAGAAAAAGAAATGATTCAATTTGGATCAAAGCAAGAGAACATTACTTTGCATTAGAAATGATAAAAAAAAAGATTACAGTACATGGTTTTACGTTTTTAAATGTAGCCAGTTGAACATAATAAATTTGGTTTGGAAGCTTGTTCCATGTCTCTTATTGACATGCTATTAAATGTTCTCTTCCTTTGTTGTACAAGCTTCACTTCTGCTCCATTATAGATTATTTGATAATGTGTAGTTGCAAAAATTATGCACAAACCTACGTATGTGTTGTTCACTTACTGCATAAGTTGAATTTTATCAGATTGAATAAAAGTTCATTATTTTAACGATGTGTTATCTGACCATTTTCGTTATGTGTTTTTTGTTGCCAGTAAACCAGTTGGAGACACTGTGTGTGAGTTTTAAGTCACTCGGCCAGAAGAGGGTGTGTGTGAAAGAATGTTAATTTTGCAACCTGCAAAGAATACGGATTTTTGTGAAAAAATTGTACAGTATGAGTTACTATTAGGAATTTTTTTTAAATATATTCATTCAAATGGGGTGCTATTTGAGAACAAAATCATTTTAATTGTAAAGACATCTTTCCAAATCATCGAGAAACTGCCGCGCTGTAGTCTGTGATTAAGATCTTTATAAACTTTATTTTCAGCTTTGCTTCATTTAATCGTTTTTCATTTTATTTTTTTTTTCAGTTCATTTGTAGTTTAATCACCTGTACATATACATCATAAAATGTATTGTATATAGAGACAATGCACTAGTAAGAGGCCTACATAAAATCCCTAAGTTTACTAATTCCTACATTTAAAATGCCTGCTGTTATGAATTAGCAGACCATGAAAAAATAGTTTTGCAAACTCGATGAAAACAATTATTGCTTACTGGACATAAGAAAAAGTCATTATTTTTTACTGTCAACACATATGAGGGGAAATTCCTCCATCTGAAAATGACTTTTTGCATAGGCCTATATTCCCTCTCTATAACCGCCACACTGTTCCATTCTCTGTTGTCAATCGGCGCTCACCACGTCATAGAGTTGTACCCTATTCATTGTTTTAAGCCCACCTTACACGAAGACTTTCGTATTGAAAGGGTAATCCATTTTGGTATCCGCCCAGTTGATCGAAATCCAGTTAGCCGAAACCCGGTTTGCCGAGTTTAGGCTACTTTGCCGAACCCAGTTTGCCGAATCCAGTTCACCGAAAACACGAAATCCCAGTGGCCGAATCCTGGTTTGCCGAACCCAGTTTGCCGAATTTTGCCGTCACTGCTGTACAAAAGCGCAGCACACTACTATTTTGAACTAAATGTAATAACGTCAATTATGTAGGCGAAACCGAATGTAAACTCAGACTTAACCACCACAAAAAAAACACAAAAAAACAAGACCATCAAACAAGCTTCCTGTTGCTCACCACTTTAATTTACCGAGCCATACTATCAGTGATTTAGTGATCTTAGGCACCAATTTCAAATCTACTAAGGCTAGAGGATGTGCTGAGATCCTGTTGGTTCCTCTGTCTTTAATCTAATGTTAATGTTTATATATATATTATTAATGTCCTTTATTCGAACACTGTATTTACCTTTCTTTGATGATTTATATGTAATTTAACAGTGATAAAGAACATGAACCTATTAGTATTAAATAAGTCCATGGTAGGCCTAAGGGTAAGAGAGTAGGCCCCTATTCCATCGTGAATTTTATGCTGCTACTGTTAATGTCTCATTGCTTTTAACAGACTTTTGGCAAACTGGGATTCAACAATTGGGATTCATTGTGTCGGCAAACTGGGATTTGGCAAAGTGGTCCCGGCAATCTGGCATTCGGCAAACTGGAATTCGACCATCTGGCCTAGACCCGCTTATAAGGGGTAGTGCTGAACTAATAATTTATAGGTTTAGGCTGGTAGGGCACTGTCCTTAGCAGCAATTTTCCTTCAGATACCTGGTTGGTTGTGCACCTGTCTCATAATATCCAAATTACGGTTGATGCAAGCTTGTATGTGAACTGCCGGAACTGTGTCGTAGACACAATAACTTCTTCTAAAATATTTAATTTTAGAATGTTGTTCCTTCTAAGTAAGAAAATATACATATAGGTAAGTAGAAAGTGTACCATACTGTAGTTGTACAAGCCTGTGCCTTCATGGTGTTAGATTGAATTGCGCGTATCTGAGTGAAAATGTAAAAAGTAAAAAACAGAGCTAAAGATTGTTGTGTAATGGCATACCGTAGTCGTAGGCACATGTTTTTGCAACCGACATTCAACAATGTAAATTTAAATACTCTTTAAAAGTAGGCTAAGTGAAATAATTTTAATTTATTTAATAAAGTGTAATATTATTTATATGGTGACTTAAAAGCGATCCATGTGTCGTAAAATGCGCTTTAACTTAAATACATTAGGCCTATTATAACAATCGCTAAATATATAAATTCATGATCTTAATGTCGTTAATGATCTCAAAATCATTGCCTGTATATACATTATATAATTTTTATATTTAAATAATTTTAATTAATTTAATAAAGAGTAATTTTATTTATATAGTGACTTAAAAACGATCCATGTGTCATAAAACTTGCTTTGATTTAAATAGGCCAATTAACAATCGCATAAAAATACACATTCATGAATATGGAATACAGCATAAAGTGGCCGTTAATGTTCTCAAAGTTTTTGTGTATTTATACAATTTAATAATATTAAATTGTATAAATACAGAAAGACTTTGAGAACATGTTATATTTCCTGCGTTTTCGTTTTTTCGATATACTTATCAGCATTGTTGTTTAATTATATTGCATATTTGGCAAGTATTAGATTACATTTCATTCCTATTCATTGTTCATATAAATGTTTTTAGCAAATAAAAAAGTTTGTGTACATATAAGGTAGCTGCCATTGATTACACTTTATATTTATTGTTGTGTTACAGTATGGCGACACTCCATTTCACGAATTGTTGCAAAGTGACCATGAATACCAAGTTCACCATTACGGAACCCAAAACTTGTTACATGCTGGAGCTGACCCGAGTCTATTGAACCAGGTAAATAATTTGCCTATGTAGTATTGACAAAACATTAAAAAAACAGAGAAAGAATTATAACGGAGTTCATCAAATTATAATATATAAATAAAAACAGTGGCTGATCCAGGAGTTTGAAATAGAGGGGGGTGCACAGGGAGGGACTTTGACAGACGAAGAGTTCCCACCACCTAAGCCCCACTATGTTTGGGGCTGAGGTAAGAAACTTTTCGATTATGGCAGAAATGGCACTCTCAGATTTTAAATTTGAGTGTAATTTTTTTTCTCCATTTTTTAGCTGCACCACCCCACTCAAATCCGCCACTGAAAAATTAGTGAACACCCAAAGCTGAACATTATCGTATTCAGTTTTCGCAATGGACAATGCTGCTGATACAACAAAATAGCACTTCACAATTCTTATCATATCAGCATTGTCATATTAAATATTAATTATTTATAGTATCATCATATTATGGAATGATGTTAAATACATGGCATTGGGTAGAACTAGTAGATCGCAAAAGCGTAAACAAATTACGGTATGTTAGCACTCCGATTGTCATGGTTAAATAACATTTATAAAAAGTGTATTATTTCGATAGAAATAAATACATAAATACAGTATTCATACAATAAACATAATACTACAACTATATCTTCGTATAGTTATAGTATTATGTTTATTGTTTGAATAAACAATAAACATAATATTATAACTATATCTTCATATAAACATTTTTCATTTTTTTGAATGATTGATTGAATTTATTCGATGCTCAACATGCACAAGAAGCAAGACAACAAATGGATTGAGATCAAGATCAATTACCGTAATAAGCATCAGGAAAGCCTATCAGGCCAGAAGCCAGCCCATTTCCAATGAGGTCCAATCTAAATGTACACTGTCTGTCATGAGCTGAAAGATAAATAATTTAATTCCATACTGTAACTGAATAATTATATTTAAGTAAGTTACAAACTTACAATTCTTTTATATACATAGACTCTTAAATTGGTTGGTAGTGTCAATTAAAGAATTTTGTAGTGAAATGTTCGTAAAATCAGGAAAAAGGAGAAAAATGTCGATAGGTGGTCCAACAATTTTGATCGGGGTCTAAAACAAGGGGATGCCTATAGCCTTGTTCAGGGTCCCGGAATAAAATCTCTGGGGTGAGGTTCATGGGGAGAAATTTTACGGTACAGGATCGCCCATGTGATATTTTACCACAGTTGAATTGGCTATCAAAATATATTTGCTTGGATCGGCAAATTAATATATTCTTTTTGCCGTGGAGTTGGACAAGGAGGTTGATGTTAGTTTATATGTTATGGTTACTCGGGCTACATGAGCAAAGCTAGTTGCTTTTCAATAATAATAATAATAATAATAATAATAATAATAATAATAATAATAATAATTATTATTATTATTATTATTATTATTATTATTATTGTTATTGTTATTGTTATTGTTATTGTTATTGATGCTGCTGCTGTTGTTGTTGTTATTGCTATTACTATTATTATTATTATTATATAAAATGCTAACTGCTCTGTATATTCGAAAAGTGAAGTATATATGCAACCGGCCCCACCTAAATTATTCAAAATTACTTCAAAAATGGAGAAAAAAAATTGTATTAGTTCGTTTCTGGCCATCTCGAGTATGGACCATAGAGGTGACATCATAAATCCATATGTGAAGGTTCCCCCTGGATCCCCTTTATTTCGAATTTCTGGATCCGTCACTAGTATCTATATTTGATATTATGGAGGTACACATCTATGCAGATATAGATATCAATATCGATAAAGACGGTGTAATTTGAGCCTACCTCTATCAATTTCGCTGTCCTTTAAAAATAATATAGAAAATATGTTTGTCGGGCTATAACAAATTTCGATTATTAAAGATTGAAAGTTGTGCACCAGATAATTATAGGATTTTTGGTAATAAATTTAATAATGTCAATAAAAAAAAAAGATACGAATCTACAATGTAAACAACGAAAAGAAGTTAACAAGCCAAAAGCTTTAATTATTACTGTAAATAACGTTTCTTTACCCAGTTTCAAGGTCTTTAATATTGTTTTAGCGAGTCACTTGGAATGTATGCTGTTGTTGAATAGAATGCAAACATGTCAGTGCACGCTTCTGTCGAGGAAAGTGTCAGTGCCTTCAATGCGGCTGCCTAACAAACTTAGTAAAAACAATAACCATAGAATTATGACAGAATTCGAAATTAACTATCATGATTAACGATGCAAAATGTTGAATACTGTACTCACATTTGTTATTAATTGTAAAGTCTCCTTCGTAATCTTTCAAATCCATTCAGTATTGTTTATATGTAAAATGACACCTGGAGAGGCATACAAAAAAACAATTAATTATTCTTTTTTTCTAATGCGCCATTCCTTTATGACGATGAGGATGATGATGATGATGATGATAATAATAATAATAATAATAATAATAATAATAATAATAATAATAATAATAATAATAATAATAATAATAATGAGGATGATGATGATGTTGGTGGTTATAATGATATTGATAAAGATATGATGTTGATGTTGGTGATTATGATGATATTGATGATGTTGATGACCGTTGATGATTATGATAATGATTTAATGACTCAATGATGATGATGATGATGGCGATGATGATGGCGGTGATGATGATGTCGATAATTATTATGTTGATGATTGTAGAATAGTTTCGTTTCGTTTCGTTTCGTTTATTATTCTTCTCCACTCATAAAACATAATAAAAACAATTACACAAAAAAAAAAAAAAAATTTTTAAATAAAGTAAGAATCGACTTGAAAAAAAAAATGACTCCGATGGAATCAGTAGGCCTATAAGGCTGTTATGTGACATAATTAAGGTATATTAATGGTTAAGCCGGCCCTAATTAGCCTACTTGCAATCAAAATGTATCACCCTTTTAAAGAGGGACGTCATTTATGTAAGGTATGCATGTGCTATTTTCCGCAGAGAAGCCATTTTCCAACCATGGTAGAGTTGAGATGGGTAGGATCAACAAACTGTTGTGTCTGCCACTTGAGGGGACCGGGTAGTGGCTGTACTTGTTACAGCATGGGCACAGATCATGGGGGACGGGGAAAAGTCTCCCACATATTTTAAAGGGGGGGGGGGTATTAGTTCCCACTCACCTTTCGATCGCGATGTAATTTCATAAGTAAAGAAGATGCCTGAATACGGAGCCCCTAAAGGGACATGGTTAAAGAAAATATTAAACTATTTCCAGGGAACGAAATATTCTCGAGGGAACGAAATAATATTTCGAGGGAACGA